ATTGAAAATTGCCCTTTCAAGATTCTGTGAAGAATTGCGTTGGAATTTTGATGGTGATTGCATTGAATCTGTAGATTGCTTTTGGTATGATGGCCATTTTTACTATGTTAATCCTACTGATCCCTGAGTATTGTAGATCTTTCCATCTTCTTCTGATATCTCCTTCAATTTGTTTCTTCAAAAACTTGAAGTTCTTCTTATACAGGTCTTTCACTTGCTTGTTTAGGGTTACCCCAAGATAATTTATATTATTTGTGGCTGTTATGAAGGGTGCTGTTTCCTGATTTCTTTCTCAGCCCCTTGTACATAAGCTGCTGATTTTTATGAGTTAATCTTGTATCTAGTCACTTAGCTGAAGTTGTTTATCATCTGTAGGAGCTCCCTGGTAGGATTTTTGGAGTAGTTTATGTGTACCCTCAGATCATCTGCAAATAGTGATACTTTGGCTTCTTCCTTTCCTCTCTGTATCTCCTTGATTACCTTTTGTTGTCTTGTTGCTCTAGCTGGAGCTTCAAGTATCATATTGAATAGATATGGAGAGAGTGGACAGCCTTGTTTTGTTCCCGATTTTTAGTGGAATTGCTTCGAGTTTCTTTCCATTTAATTTGATGTTGGCTGTCTTGGAAAAAAAGTGAAAAAAGAATGTTCTGGGACATTGCAATTCCCTGAAAAAAAGCTGGTCCTTGATGGGTCACAGTGTGTGGCTATCTTGAGAGCTGGTTTGTTAGGAGGAGAGAGCCGTAGTCTACTACATGGAAGCCCAAAGACACAGCCCAGGGATGAAGCACAATCTGAAGAGCAAATTGTGGTGATTTGAATGAGACTGTTCCTCAGAGGCTCTGACTTTTGAACACTTAGCAGACAGAGGTGATGTTTGGATAGATCTAGGAGCTGTAGCCTTGTTGGAGGAAGTATGTCCCTGGGCTTTGAGAGTTCAAAAGACTCATGTGATTTTGCGTTCAGTCTCTCTGCTTCTTGAATTCATTTTGAGGTGTGAGCCCCTGGCTGTGGCTGTTGCCATGCCTGCTGCCTGCTGCCACTATTCTCTGCCACGATGGACTTTGAAACCACAAGCTCAAATAAACTCTTTTGTAAGTGTCTTGGCCATGGTGTTTTATCACAGCAATAGAAAAGTTACTAAGACACAGGACTCATCTCAAGGTCAGAACCCACCTCATCCCACCAGTGGTGGAGAAATGTATAACCTATGAACCCAAGCCACAGGAGGCTTCCAGGCTGCATTCTGGGGACATGGTGACCAATTTCAACAGGCATTAGACCCTGCTCATGAGTTAGAGATACAAGACCAAATCTTGGCGTGGAGAATTGAAGAGTTAAAAGTCTTCACCTTCAGGGGAATCAATACTTAAAGGCGTGAGGACATGCGGATGTGGAGGTTTGCCACGCTTCCTTGAGCTCATCTTGGGCTGTTTGCAAATAAAGGAACTGAAGCAGGAGGAAGGTGGTGGACTCTCGGGGTGCGTTCTGTGAGGAGTGTGTGGGATGATGCAACGTAAGCCAAGCGATAGCTCTGCACGTTTTCCTTTATTGTTTTTGGGAAAGCTGTTCTCATGTTTATTCCTCTCTCTGCTGGGATTTCCTTTAGAGCTGTACCGGATGCGTGGTCAGTCTCCTTCAGGGCTCGTTTGTGGTCCTTGAGTGTACACCAAAATGTCATTATTCACTGTGCAGTATCTTTCCTGTGGTCAGTGTAGAAGACAATAAAATCAGAAAAAGTGAGCCGATTGCATAGATTGTATAGATCAAAGGAAATTTGGGAGCTGAGGATATGACTCAGTCCATGAAAGGACCTGAATCGGATTCCCTAGGACTAATGTAAATGCCACATGTGGTGGGGAGGGCTTGTAGTCCCAGTATTTGGAAAGGTAGAGATTGGGGGATCCCTGGGTTCCTTGGAGGGTCTCTTGGACTCCCGGGGTAGAAATCTTATCCTAATCCACAAGTACCACGTCCCAATGAAAGTTCCTACTTCAATAAACAAGGTAGCGCCTGAGGAAAGTTACCTCAACTTGACATCTGGCCTCTCATATACGTACACATATTTTCATGTATACTCATGCATTGGTACACACACGTGCACACATGCACATGCATGTGCAAGTATACACACACACACACACACACACACACACACACACGCACACAAGTGCAGAAAGTGAGAGGATCTCAAAGGTGGTGACAGCTGCTTCTCCTTAGATAAAATAACCCCTAAAGCAAGCGACATTTCCTGTTTCACCTTTTCCTCAAGTTAATTTTAAAGATACAATGTTCTCGCTTTGGAAACAAAGAAATTCAGAAACATGGAAAGCACAGTTGGCCCTCTGTGGATTTCACATCTCCAATACAGCCGTTATGATACAAGATACTTGAAACCTTTGTTCCGGCCACTCCAACCACTATGGTGACCACAGAGTTCCAGCGCTGAGCTCCTGATCTACCTGGGCGAGGCTGAAGGCATCCTGAGGGGAACATGGCCATGAGGACCTACCCTGGCAACTCTCTCCTCAGAGGACATACAGTTTTCTTTGCTGCCTCACCCATAGGGGTCACTGACTCTGACTTTTGAGGGTGGACCTTTCCCTTCCCAAGAGTGACATTAGTAGAGGAAGGATTTCCTGACTCTGGAGGAAGAGGCTGAGGTGATGGGTCTGTTGGATAGTAAGTGACCCCTGGAAACCCTCTCAGTCTGCACATAGGAAACAGGACTGCAGCCCTGAAGCCAACCTTTAGAAGCGGAAGCTGAAAACGATGAGCTTCCAGGGTCTCCCCAGCTTCAGCCAGGAGGTGGTCTGGAGAACATTCCTCTACCTGGGGCTGGAGGGTTTCCAGCCAGAAGAACGGTGTAGTCTGTACTAAAGCCCAGAGCAGGCTCAGCTGCTGACCTATAGCGACCTCTGGTGAACCTCAGCCTTATTGAACTACGGACCGGTGAGGCTCATGGAAGCCTGCGGGCCTGTTCGGCTCATTCCATTCAATGGATGCCTTTGTGGAGGACATTGTGACTCTCTAACGTGTCCTTATATGAGAATGCTCATATAAGATATAGAATCTCTGGGTACTCCTCCCTGCTGTGCTTACAGGATGGTGCAATGTCAGTGGAATATACTGTCTACAGCAGACACACAATGGCTTGCCATGTCTGTACCATCTCAGGGAGATGTGGCTTGAGCTCCTTGCTGAAAGGAAGTCCAACAAATGGGTGCTAGCTACTACAGGTGGCATTTACCTTCCCAGGAAGACCAATGTGAGCTCCCTCCTCAGAGTCATAGCCTGGCTGGAAACACAGCTTCAAACACTGAGTATTTTGCTCAGGTGGGAGCCAAAACTGGGGCCTCTCCATAACTTATTAGATTTATTGTTGTTGCTTGAGACAGGGACTCATGCAGCCTAGGCTGTCCTCAGAATGACTAGGTAGCAGAGGATGACCATGAATTCTTGATTCTTCTGCCTTCACTTCTCAAGTGCTGGAAATATAGGCAGGTACCACTCTGCTCGGCTTCCTCAACGTATTTTTTATTATTATTTTTCTTTTTGAGACAGAATTTCTAGCCTAAACTGGCCTTGAACTCCCTGTATAGCTAAGAATAGCCTTGAACTCCTGGTCATCCTGAATTCTTGGGTGTTGGGATTATGCACCCAACTTGCTTGACTTAGTAAGTGCTTGGGATTGAACCCAGGGCTTCCGGCTAGTTAAGCAAGTACCCTACCAACTAAGTCACACCCAAACCTGTGGCATTGTTTGAGACAGGGCCTGGTGTGGCCTAGGGTGGTCTAGAACTCACCGTGTAGCCTGACTTTGAATAGGTGAGAGCCTTTCCCCAGCCTCCCAAAGCCTCCCAAGTGTTGGAATGAGAGCTGTGATGGGTTGAATGGTAATGCCTCCACTCCCATAGTGTTGGAACACTTGGTCCCCAATTGGTGGTGCTGATTGGGTAGACTGAGGAAGCTTTGGGAGGCGGATCCTTGTTTGAGGAACTACATCACTGGGGGAAGCCTCTAAGTACATATAGTCTCTGCCTCATACTGGTAGTTCAAGATGTGAGCAAACTCTCCGCATTCTGGTCCTGCTACAATGTTAGCTGCTTTTCCATCACGACGGACTCTTATCCTTCCAGAACCATAAGCCAAAATAAATTCTGTCTTCCATAAGTTACCTGGGTCACTGTGTTTTGTTACAGTGACAGAAAAGTAATTAGCATCACAAGAGCCTACTCACCAGGTTTTATAAGGGGCTCTTACTGCACCCCTGGAGTGACAAGCAGCCTCATGAGTCTGCATGGTGGGTGGTCAGTGTTTAGGTTATTCTATTTGCAGTGTTTGACCTTTATAAACTTTGGTACATGGGGCTGTCAAGATGATGTAGCAGGTAAAGATGCTTGATATCAAGGCTGTGAACCCACAGGGTAGAAAAAGAGTAGATTCCTGCAAATTGTTCTCTGGCCTTACACACATGTTGCGGTGCATACAGTAAGCTCCCAAGTAAATTTAAGCATCTTTGAAAACTGAAAATAAATATGATTATGCTGACTATGTATAGTTATTTTTCTGATTGTTTTGTAAGCAAGCGGAACCACAGATATTTACCTAACATTTTGTCTATCCAGGTGCTGTAACTAAAATAGAGATTACTGGAAGTGTGTGGAAGGGTATCAGTGAATTACCACAGACTCCATTTGCCCCAGACATTCTCACCCACTGGCAGGCGTTCTTTATGACACTTGGAGTTTTTACAACTGTTCTTACAACTTCTCCCCACCTTCAGGTCGTGATTTTTGTTCCTTTTCTTTGGGAATATAGAGTGAACAGCTTTCCTAATTTCCCTGGTCATCTTCATGGTTTTTCCAGCTCCCAAACAACTATGTGAGGATCCATAAATGCACCTAGGCTGCCACCACTGTCAATGCCGCCTTGCTAATCTCATGAAGCAGCAGTGAGCTTTCTGCATCACAGACATAACGAGAGTCCTTTTCCTCTTGCAGACAAATTTCACAGGAAGATAAAAACTGGGAGACCAACATCCAAGAGCTTCAAAGAAAGGTATCTTGTCGTCTTTTCTCGGGGGCTGCTGAGTCATGGCTTGTGGAGAAGGTGGTTATTTTCTCCTGCTTAGATTCTATTGTCCTTTTTGGTTGACAGGTCTAATTGTAGAACGCTGTGTGGCATGGAGCCATATCTGGATGCAGGTGCACGCTGGGCTCTGCTCACACCAGCCCGCCCGCACCCTTTTTCATTTCTATGTGCTGATCCCTTCAGAACTCTCTTTTTATTTCTTTCAGATTTGGTTAGTGATTGGAAAACATTGTCCTTTTTATTCCTGTAGCTTTGCATGACGTGTAATTTATTTTCTGTGTTGGTGAGGAAAAACGGTTTCCTAAAACGGCAGAATTGTATCATGAAATGAAAACCTTACCATTTTTGGGTGCCCCGAAGATACATTCCATGGGGTGTCCCGGGAAAAGCATGGTGGCCACCCTTTGAGCCAGCCTCCGCTCATCTCTTCAGCTCTCCTGACCCAGAGAGTTTACAGGGCATGTGCTTTGGAGGTACAGTGTAGGAGGCGGAGTTTTAGGGGCGGATGTGTGTATCCTGCCATTTTGGGTTTGGCCTGCCTCTGCTTTCTGCACATTTTCCTGCTGTAATGAGTTGCCCGTGGAGCAGAGCATATCCGAGGGACTCATAGGATGTGTCCTCATTGCAGGGACACAGTGCTCTCTGTCCTCCCGAGCGACTGGGCAGATATACTTAGAGGTTGCCCCCACCCCACTATGAGGCAAGAACTACATTTCAAGGTCTCTGGATTCCTTTTGCTGGAAAAGCAGCATTTAAAGAATGCCTGAAGCATGTTGAAGATGTACAGAGCTGTAAAGTCATGTACGTCATACTTGATAACCACATCTTGCAATGACTCTTAGGTGTAGCATCACATGGGCACTCCTTGCAGGAAGGACAGTGGAATTCTGGGAGATGCATGGCACACAGGCACCCTTGAAGACCGTGTGTCTGAATCTTATATGTTATTCCCAAAAAGTTTTTGCTAATATCTCACTGTGTTACAGTGTATATACTCTCTTGGAATAGTGGAAATTTATTTAGTTTTCACAAACATTTTGACGTTCCTTTTTAAAAGGAAATACTCACAGTGACTCAGATGATGTAGGAATCTGAAGACTGTACTGAGCAAATGAGTTGTGTTTCTCTCTCTCTCTTTCTCTCTCAGCACAGGATATCAGACAGGAGTCTGCTTGTCAAGTGCCTGGCGGTGCTGGGATGTGTTATCTCCGTGTTCTTTCTCAATTCTTTTGTCCCTGGCATTCATCTTGATCTTGGTGAGTCTAACATTCTGCTAATGCCTGCTGCTAGCTTTGCATCTGACGTGGCAGCGTGCATGGGAAGGGCTTCCAAGCCTGTTCCCAGACGACGACTGGACTTTCCACACTGAGTGGCATCACAAAGCAAACCAGTATCTGTGAGGGGTCTGGGAGACGACGGGGAGAGCTCTACTGAGCTCAGTGTCTGGTCTGGCTACAGATAGTTTTCCCATCCAGTCATCTGCTGTGCTGAGATGGATGTGGGCAACCCTCGGTGGAAGGACGGCTTTCTGTGTGACTTGCCTCTTTGTTGGGAGGAAGGGGGGGGGGTGTAACCGAGCGACAGTCCATCTGCAGCCCCTGCAGGGGTCGGTGTCGGAAGGCACGTAGAATTGGTGCTGTTGTGTCTGTCACGCTGGACAGCCACACCTTGGAATGGTTCTCAGGAGAGCCTAGAAGTCATACCAGCAAAAGCATGCCATCACAAGCAAACCAGTGACTGTGAAGGGTCTGGGGAATTGGAAGAACCTACTGAGCTCAGTGTCATGTCTGGCTGCAAATGGTCTCCCCATGCAGCCGGCTACTTCTCCCACACACAGTAGGCTTCTTCTCTCCACGCAGTAGATTTCTTGTCCACTGTATCCCTTTGGTCCTCCCTCATGGTCAGCTCATTCTCTCTAGTCGTTAGTCAACTGCCGTTCTCCTGTTCTGTGTCAAGTTCTACCCGTGCCCAGAGGAGAAATGGCTCTTCCAGGTTGAAACTCCTAGTGCCCATCCTCTCCACAAACATCTCTCTCACGTCCCGTAGACTTCATGTCATGTCACGGTGATCTTTCTAGGTGTCAGTACTTGAAGTACAACGGAAACATCTACTTGTAAAATCTACCTCATGTGAAAGAATAGACCGACGAGAAGTAGGTGCTTGATGTGGTGTCCAGTTTGGCAGGTAACTCAGACTTGGCTCTGAGCTGACAGATGTTCTGTCTACACCAGATCTACACTAGAATTGGTGCTCCTGGAATTCCCTGAAGTCCTGAGGAAAGCCAAAGGCAGAGATAACGATGGCATGGTTCTCAACTGCTTTTGGTGGGGGTACCTCTAGAAATTGTTAAAGTGTGATTATTTTAATTATACCCGGGCACTTAAAGACACGTCTTCATACAAACATATATTAAAAAAATCTTGGTTACTGTTGGGGAAGACCAGCACAGCCTCCCCACTTGTTTTTGAGATTGTATTTTATCTTAAAGGATAAGTAGATTTTTGTTTGTGAAAACACACAGTATACCAAACGATTTAAAAATAATGTAGGCATATGAACTAGAGATATGTGGTTTAACATTTCTGTGAAATTATTGAAGAAAACATTTTGTTTAAAGATGGAAGTTGTTTACTTTTCTTTCCATATTTTCTCAATGCATCTGGACCACAGTTTCTCCTTCTTCAACTCCTTCCAGTCCCACCCCTCTACCTCCCCTCTCTCCCAGACCCTCTCACTTCAGAAAACAGAGCAGGCCTCCCAGGGATGTCAACAGAACATGGCGTAACAAGCAGCGATATGACTAGGCACAAACTCTCACATCAAGACCGGGCTAGGCAACCCATCAGGAGGAAAAGGATCTCAAGAATAAAAGAATCAGAGACAGCCCCACTACTAGGAGTTCCAACAGGACATCAAACTAACAACCATAATGTATATTAAGAGGACCTAACACAGTCCATGCAGGCACCGCCATTGCGACTTCAGTCTCTGTGAGCCTCCGTGAGCTCTGCTTAGTTGATTCTGTGGGCCAAGCTCTCCTGGTGTCCTCGACCCCTCTGAGGCATTAAATTCTTTCACCACTTCTGCTACTGGGTTCCCCGAATGCCAAAGGGAAGGGACTTGATGGATGTCTCCAATTTAGATTCTTTCTGCCTAATATCTGACTGTGAATCTCTGTACCTTCTCATGTTTAACTTTAACACAACATTCTCCTCTTCTCTTTTCTTCACCCAAACCCTGCCATGCACCCTCTCCATTTTCCTCAAATTCACTGCTGCTCTTCCCCATCAATCATCTTTTTCGTACGTGTGTATGTATATTCCCAAATGTAACTTTTTGAGTCCATATAATGGTACTCATATGTAGGTACTGAGGGCTGAACATTTGGCACTGGACAACCAATGGGCATGCTCACTATGGAAGATCATGTTGACCTTCTCAGCTTTACTTAGTTGCCTATGGTTTGTGTAGGGGTGAGCCCTCATAAGCCCAGCCTTTGCACAAAGACGACTCATCTTATTACACCATGGTTGCACCTGTTACTGACAGGGTTATTTCTGTCCTGCTCTTAATGCTAGTGTTTTTTTTTCTCCCCCTTTCGCTTGTGAACAGGTATCTTACCAGGGATCCTAGGATACACATTGGCCTTATTTGATTCTCTATCCCGAAAGGTTATGTTGAATAGGAAAAAGTCTGGTTAGCATTTCAAGGCAGAAATATTTAAAAGGGAATATCTTCATTGCATGTAGTACTGGGTTTCAGAAGGATGTTTTCCCAGAGATGCATTAACTCCCCATGCCACCACTGTCTCTCCTTCCCCCCCACCCCTCCTAATTGTCCCTTTGTCCCCTATAGTGTCCCTGCTACTTTCATGTCACACATACGATGATAAAGAGTCTAAGGACCACAAATTACAGAGACACAAATTTGTCTCTCTGAGACCAGCTTAATTCTCTTAATGTAGTGACTTCCAGCTGCATCCGTTTTCCTGAAAACGGCACACTTTCATTCTTTCGTGTGTGTGTGTGTGTGTGTGTGTGTGTGTGTGTCCCACATGTTATTTTCCCAGTCCCTGCTGTCGAAGACCTAGCTGGTCCCATGACTTAGCTGTTGTGAGCAGAGCTCTAACACACATTGACACACAGGTGTCTCAGTGATTGGTGGACTTTGACTTCCTGGAACAAATACCGAAGAGTGGCATAGCTGGCTTGTATTTTTTTTTTTTTTTTTGAGAAACTGCCATACTGATTTCCATAATGGTTTTACTGACTGACAGTGTTATCAAGTTTTTCTTCAAGTCATCACCAGTATTTGTTGTCATTTGTTCTTTTTTTTTCACCTTTGGTTTTTCCAGATAGGGGTTCTCTATGACCTGGATGTCCTGGAACTTGCTTTGTAAACCAGGCTGGCCTCAAACTCACAGAGATACACCTGCCTCTGACTCTTGAGTGTTGTGTTTATAGATGTGCTGCCACCAGCCTGGCCCATCATGAGCTATTAATAACTGCAGTTCTGATAGGGTAAGATGGAATAACATTGTATTTTCATATGAATTTTAATATGAAAATGTTAAACATTTTCTCATGTATTCATGGCTATTTGTGTTTCATATTTTGTCAACTTATTACATTAGTTTACTTATTGATTGATTTGCTAATCTGTTCCTATTTAATTTTTGGACTTTGTGTATTTTACATGTTACTGTTTGGCAGTTATATAGTTGTTATCCTATTCTGCAGAGTAGGACCAGAAACTCTGAAACTGTTAGAGGTGAGAAATAGGTTGAACATGTCAGGATTAGCACCTCTATTTTTTTAATTTTAATTTTAAAATTTAAATTTAAATAAGAAACAAGGTTGCTTCACATGTCAATCCCAGGTCCCGCTCCCTTTCCCTCCCCTCCTCCCATGCCCTCCTACCAATCCCCCCCCCCATATTCTCTCATTTCCCCAGGGAGGGTAAGGCCCTCCATGCGGGTGTCCATAGTCTGTCATTTCATCTAGGGCAGGACCTAGATCCTCCCCCAAGAGTCCAGGGTGAGAGTGCATCTCTCATTGTTGGATGGGCACCCAAAGTCCATTTGTATGCCAGGGATAAATGCTGATCTACTACCCAAGGCCCCATAGATTGCCTAGGCCTCCTCACCGATACACGCATTCAGGGTGTCTTGATCAGTCCCATGCTGGATCCCCAGCCATCAGTCTAAAATTCAAGAGCTACCCTTTGTTCAGGTCAGCTGTTTCTGTGGGTTAAACCAGCCCAGTCTTGACCCCTTTGCTCATCAGTCCTCCCTCTCTGTCACTGGGTTCCTTGAGTTCTGCTCAGTGATTAGTTGTGGGAGTCTGCCACTGGTTCTACCAGTCATTGGATGAAGGTTCTGTTCCCCAGACTCTCTGGCCATGGGATCCCCAGACTCCCCTGATCCAGGTCTAAAATCCATATATGAGTGAGAACATACCATGTTTCTCTTTTTGTGACTGGGTTACCTCACTCAGGATGGTTTCTTCTAGTGCCATTCATTTGCCTGCAAATTTCAGGATTCCATTGTTTTTTTCTGCTGAACAGTAATGTTGTGTAAATGTACCACATTTTCTCTATCCACTCTTCAGTTGAGGGGCATCTAGGTTGCTTCCAGGTTCTGGCGATTACAAATAATGCTGCTATGAACATAGTGGAACAGATGTCCTTGTTGTATGAATGTGCATCTTTTGGATATATGCCTAAGAATGGAATTGCTAGGTTTTGTGGTAGACTGATGCCCAACTCCAGACAATGTGGTAGTTTATATAAATGATCCAAAAGACTCTACCAAGGAACTCCTACAGCTGATAAATACTTTCAGCAAAGTGGCAGGATACAAGATAAACTCAAGAAAATCAGTAGCCCTACTATATACAGATGATAAAAGGGCTGAGAAAGAAATCAGAGAAACATTACCCTTTACAATTGCCACAAACAACATAAAAGACCTGTATGGCAAGAACTTTGAGTCTTTAAAGAAAGAAATTAAAGAAGACACCAGAAATTGAATAAGTAGGATCAATGTAGTAAAAATGGCAATCCTGCCAAAAGCAGTCTACACATTCAATGCAATCCCCATTAAAATACCAGCACAATTCTTCACAGACCTTGAAAGAACAATAACCAACTTTGTTTGGAAAAACAAAAGACCCAGGATAGCCCAAACAACCTTATTCAAGATCTGGAGGCATCACCATCCCTGACTTCAAGCTCTATTACAGAGCTGTAGTCCTGA